TCACGCCTTACCCTCTCGGCCTAACCTCCACTGGTTGGGAAATGTCCGTCGAGGCGCCTATTTTCCACTTTCCTGGGGTATCCAGAGCGACCGGGGCCCCGGGATCGTTGCGATCGTCTCGGGATCTCATCTCGAATCGGCGATCTCGAAGGTCTCCCTGCAATTTGAGACTCGCGAGTCCACCTTCGATTGGCACCTTTGGGGATGGCCGCGAGGATGGTGGCCGAGAAATCGGCGCCTCCGCGCATCGCGATCCCGACTATCGACGCCTTGGCGTCGAGCGACGTCGAGAAATGACGTCGGCGTGGAATGGTTCGCGCGCAATCCGGCAGATGGCCGCGCCGCTCCCGGGTCTCGCGAGCGCGCCGGCAAGCTGGGCTCGCCGTGGCGGTTTACTCGGTGTTCCTCTTCTTATTGCCACCGATCCCGGGCGAGGGCGTAATTCCTCCGCGTCCAGGGTCCTTTTTGACTGCAACCGATGCTTAGAGAGGGGGCGGCACTGCACCAGAGATCTCTCTGCATCGCAGCGAGGCGCACCCTAGAGGGGGCGAAGTGCCATCCACCAGCTGACGATGCAACCAGATCTGGGCTCGCAGACAGTTTTCGGATTTTCATTTTTGAGTCCGGCCCTCCTCGCGGGGCACTTCTCCTGGAGAATGCCCTCCGCGGTGACCGTGGGTCCTTTGAGGTTACGAGGGGACCGGGAAACCGGGATGAATCGTTAAGGAATGATTAATAATTAATAATCGACCGGGGGTGCCGTTTCTCCGGGGGCCGGGCCTCGCCGAACATGCTGCCAGTCGAGGGGGCGCCCGATTCGATTATCGGGCGAATGATTAAACGAGAAAAAAGGCCCTCGGAGATCGTCCTTCTCGGATGCAACGTCCGCCTCGGAATGCAATCCGCCAGCTGACGAGGGGCCTTCCTCTCCGGTTCTTCTTTCTCCTCTCTGTCTCCTCCCTCTCCGCGGCGTAATTTTCGAATTTAGATTCTTCGATTAGCATCGGTCACTAATGACCACGGGGAACGCGCCGAGGAATCCCTAGCCCTTTCCTTTCCCCGGATGGGGACTATTTTATTACCCGCAGGGGGAGGTGAAAAGGTGGAGGCGAAACGCGCCTCTCCGGACGGATCCAGGAATGCCACTCGAATCGGTCCCGAGGCTTTTTGCGGAAACCTCCGCAGGATCGACGCTCATGCGAATTAGAGACGCGTGCGTTATTTCCGCGGAATTAACGGGCGGGTATCGTTCGCTCTTATGGGGGTCTTAACGGAGACCCCTAGGCGTCCAGGAATCCCGCTGGCGCTGCGCCGCGGGTGATGATACCAGATAGGCATCTATCTGCGTTTCCTGTATCACGGATCGATGGGAAAAATCGATGGATAAATGACACGCGATGGAGACCGCGTTTTTTTCAACATTCCCAGAGAGGAGGGGAATTTAATTTCTGCGATTTGCCACCTGCAGCCCATTGCACAGGATGGATGCACCGAGAGTCCTGGGTGCGTACCATTTTTCTGCATCTCGGACCGACGGGCAAAAATCGATACAGCTGACCCGCGGTGGATTTTCCGTTTTTTCCAAATTCCCTCAGAGGGGAATTTAATTTTTGGGATTTGTCCCCTGGAGCCCGATGCACCTGATGGATGCACCAAGAGCCCTGGGTGCGTCCCATTTGCCTGCATCCCAAATCGATATACATGACCCGCGGTGGAATTTGCGTTTTTTGCAAAATTCTCTCAGCGGGGAATTTAATTTTTGCGATTTGCCATCCGCAGCCCGATGCGTCGAGAGCCCCGGGTGCATCGAGCGCGCCGGGTGCATCGGAGCCAATATGCACTCCTCGATCCGCGGCTTAGGCCCGTCTATCTGATTTCCCGGCGGGGGCGACTCTCCCGGTCCCTCGGGAGTCCCGCGGGACAGGTGAGCGGTCCAGGGAACGAGGGGTTCGATTCTACCCTGGAGAACGGAGTCGACGTCGCGCGTCTCGAGTGATGGGGACAATTTCATGGCGATTTACCTCGCGTCACCGGCCACCTTAATCGCCCGGGATATCTCCTATCCCGCGCGAGTTCGTTTACGACTTTATTTACGAGGAGACTCCTGGGGGACGGGGTGAAGGGTTACCCGGGAGAGATCCGAGAGACGCATCACCTGCCAGGCGACTGTCAGCCCGGAGCATTATGCACCTGTAAATGCACCTGCGCCGAATTGCGTCGACCTTGTGCTCACTTTCCACCCGACATGGCGCACTGTCCCGATGCACTACAATTCATCTCTCCCGAATTCCCCAGAATTCCCTAAATTCCATAAAAACCGCATCCCCCCTGCACTTCGCGTAAAAGGAAAAAAAAAACATATATACATAATTATAAAAATTGAACGAAACGGAAAGGGAAACCGAGAACGGACGAATCATCAGCATCATCTTCAGGGAATCGGGTCCCGCTAATTAAGAAACGGGATTTCCATACACCGAGTCCCCGTTAATTAGCGCCGGCTAGAGATGATGAGGAAAAGGTGACTCGTTAAGACGGATAACTCCTACGATAGACATTGTTATCAGGGCGCTATCGCGATTGCCGATTCCCCCCATGGACTGGGGGTACCTGAGTGTGAAGAATCGCGGAAACGAATAGAAAACCCGGCGATGAATTATCGGCCCCCCTGCACCCCCCTTGGAGAGTCAGGGGACGCTAACGCGTGCGTCGCTAATTATCGGCGATTATGCACGCCATGGGCGGGTAATTAGGATTTATGCCCATCACGATAACTCGGGATGGCTCGGCTTAATGCAAAAGCGGTTTCTATTTAATTGTTATTTACGTCCACGGATCACGCCATTGGCAGAGGGACCTGCGAGTGGGAGGGAGATAGAGCGATGCCGGAGATAGGGTGAGCGAGAGAGAGGGGAGCACGGAAGGGCGGTCGAGTTGATTTATCGGGCTAATTCGCGACGATTATCACCCCCCCTAGGGATCGCCAGGTGGAAATTACCCCCGAGTCCGAGTGCTTACCCGGGTAGAGGGATGATTAGGTCGAATCGTCTCGTTAAACCTGGTAGACTTCGCTTATGGAGAGCAGAGAGCGATGGCAGGCAGTCATCTCGAGGGCGCAGCATCCGCAGGGATCGTCTCGAAAATCGTTATCATTTTGCATCCCACATTCCGAGGGTTAGGTGTGGCTCACCATACACGGTCTTCTGATCTCCCGTGATCATTCGATCGCGAGATGAGGCCGGGTCATGCAACGGGAACCGAGGATGATCCTCGGAGGCGGATGCTGCGCGGATCCACGTCCTTGGGGCGATCCTGGCGGGTCGTCGTACTCGGCCAACTCGACTAGAGGTTTCTTGGGCCTCGGAAAAAAATCTCCCGATAACTTCCACCGACGGGATAATGACGGGGAAAAGGACTTCACGCAGGGGTCGATTAATCAGCGACAACGCGCTCGTATTTCTAATTGGACGCGCGTGCCGCAATTAGTGCGCGATGTCCACCACGCGATACTCGCTCCTCCTCAGAAGGAAGTTCTCTTCCTTGAAGTGTCTTCAGAGATCCTAAAAAACTCCGCCAGCAGTCCGACAAACGTACCTTATACTCGGAATAACCCTGAATAATTTCCCCCCAAAAAATGTACAAATCATCTGGATAAATTATCTTACTTTACCCGAGGCCTCGCGGTAATCGGCTCGTTTTCAAGTCGGCGAATCGCGATGGAACCGCCATTCCATATCGAGGAATATAATGACACTCCACAGGAGGCACTCGAACGTTTCTGCTGCGTCTACTCGGAGTTTTACGAGATTCTGAAATGATCTTGGAACCGTCGACATCTCTCCAGGAGGTTCGCCGCAAATGTCCCCTCGTATCGCCGTTTCAGCTGTCGAAGGTCGCCGCGTCCTGCAACTTTGTGCGGGCCATTTTTACCGGGCAACTCGATGGAGCTAAACCTGGAGCTATCGTGTCTTGAAAGGGGGACGTGTCAACGATGTAGCGGGGGCAACATTGCAACGTAGCGAAGTGCATCCGGCGAGGTGCGCGCGGGCGACATCGCCTGTGCAGCCGGGCAGGCATCGAAGTCTCCGGTCGGCCGGCCATAAATCGCTTTATGAGGCTCGGCGGATCCGCGCCTCGACGCCGATTTTATTGGCGACGTCGCCGGGGAGATCACCGGGTAGGTAACTTCCGTCAGTCACGACCGCCGCGGAGAAATCGCGTTGAAATTCCGAGACGTGGGCGGCCGCGGGTCGCGACCTCGCGGCGCCTCGATTTCCGGAAATCAAAGCGAGAATTTACGCCCAGACCCCCAGGGGCTCGTTATCCCGAGGAACGTATCGGCACTTAGACGACGCGGAATGGACGTTCCTTTGTAATTGCAGGACGCGGGGGGGTCTGCAGGGAAGGGGGGTCTGGCGTTAATTGGCGACGCGCGACGTCGCGAATTGGTCAGGAGGTTATTCATGGTCCATTTCGCGGAGGACTGCGGGGGTGTGTGTGGGTATTCTATGGAGAGGGCTTCTCTTTGTCTCTATGTTCCAGTGCGAGTTTTTCCTGGGTCTTTCGTCGCCATGGTTATGGCCGAGGGAAACTCCGTCTCGGCTTGCGACCGGTCGGAGGGATGTATCCAGGGAAGAGAGAGGCCCGGCAAAGCGTCTATCTCCGAGGAATCGAGCTTCGTAGGGCAAAGGAGAAACGGTTCACAAAGCGCGGTGCAATAGGGGAAAATTGCATCGGTGCACAAATCTCGAGCGGAGGCGACCCGAGGGTCCTCCTAAGCACGGCTTCCAATCGGCGCGATTGATTCCGGCTTTCTCTCTCCCTTGATCTCCAGGATCTGCGAGAAGCTCCGCGACGAAAGGGACTTCTCACCTCGTTACCTTCGACCTCCTCCTCGTCCCAGAATCCGGAAACCCAGAATTTCAAGTGCCTCCTTGGCGGGTACCTGCTCGACCCCTCGCTTTCAAAATGGCCCTCGCAAACATCTTTCTCTCACTCACCTAGGGGAATCCGTGTCCTCGTAGCCTTGCAAGCTCCGATTCTCCTGCAGGTAGTCGAAGAGCTTCTCCAGCTCGATCAGCTGTTCGTTTCTTGCCGCCACCGCCTCCTTCAGCACCTGCGGCATCAACCAGGGTATTAATGGAAGGACCGAAATTTCTAGGGCTACATTAAATGCATTTCTTTGAAATATCGGCTTTTTTTAAAATCCCTGGTCAGGATTTCTTCTAATAGACCCACGGGATTGGGGACGTTTCGATCGGCGTCTCTCCAGGAAGGGAAACTGCAAACTCGGAGCCGGGGGAGTAGTGAACAGAAGTCGTTGAAAGTCGGGCCAAAACAAATCTGGCTGGTAATGTCCTCGCAGGGTAATGGCGCCCGATTCACCTCGTACATGAAAACGATCCCAGTGCGACGCCCGCGACGCCTCGCGACGCCATGCGTCACGTTTTAGGGGCTAGTTCTCGACGGCGCGACCGGTTTATGCGTTCGCGTGGTCCCAAGCGCGCATGCCCACGTTTTTGGGAGGATTCATGACAGAAAGGTATCGAGTTTTCTCGCGCCGATTTTTTGGGACACCCGGAAGTCCCTGAAGATCAACCGGGATCGGGTGCACGAGGCCGGTGAATCCGGGAAATGTTGAAAAAAAATATATATTTTCCAGGAATGCCATCGAGTAACTCGGCGAATTTTTGGTATTTTAATTATCTCCTGTTTTTTCTTGTAACTCAAGGATTTAGATTTTTGGACCCTTCGATTTTTCACGTTTTTCGGGCCTTTTATGGAAGTTGTAACGTGCACGTTAGTGGCGGATGCGAGACGGACTCTCGGCGGACTCGATCGATAGAATCGAGACAGCCGGGCATGAGTATAATATATCCTGCGATTACAATATGTCGGGGACGGAGGAGCCAATATCAACCCGACTCGGCTGAGCCGACGCTAATAATCCCCATTGTCGAAGGATTCGTGCCTGCCCCGCGACTTCGACGGCCATTTTGCATTTCGAGTCCGCCGGGAAAATCGGAAGAAGTGCCGAATCGCCGGGATTTCTCGGCGCCTCTGCATGCCCGTTACATATCCTCGGAGTTTATCGCTATTCCTTGACTCCCTCATCCTTATCACCTCTCCTTATCGGGTAAATATCACGGCCAATCGGTGGCCGCCTTTCGGACGTCCCACGCGAAATGCAAGGCCCGCGTTTCAAGGCGCGCGAAACAATCGCGCGTTCTTCGACGTTCTCCCACGTGACCGGCTCGCAATCCTAAGAGGCCAGACCTGGAGAAGGTCTCTAACTTTCCTCGCGGCATTTTCCTCGGCCTCGAGATTCCAGGTGGCGATCGATCATCATCGGCCCCTCGGATCAAGAATGCGCGGAGTCCTCGGGGAGAAGGTCCCCATGGATCCTCATCAAGGTCTTCACAGGACCCCGAGACCTATCTACGATCTAGACCCTTTCTTCGGGGCCTCTCCCCAGAACTCGGTCCAAAAAGTCCATAGCGCCATAATGAAAAAACCTTCGAAATCTGCAAAAATTCAGGATCTTATCGAAAGGGTCGCGCTCGTCGTCGTCCTCTTCGGGGCGACCAGCTGATGACGCGATCATGCTAATGGTGCCATTCGGTCAGGATAGTCACGTCGAGATCGGGGGTAATTATTAAAATGAACCATCGATCTCTTCGGCTTAGGGGTGTCAGGGTGCACCCTCGTCCATCACGCCGACCGATGGGCAGATTCCGGGCCGGGATTTTCGGAGGCTTCAGGTTCTCTATGGGGTCTTCAGGGAAGGAAAAAGAATTCCCTAGGGACATTTAGACCAGGCACCTTCTTGGGTATTTGGAATTAACTTTGATAGCCGTTGATATCTGTCGATGCGAAAATCCAGGGCGTCGCGAGACAGGACCTCGTGCAGAGCGAGAGATCCAGGAGAAGAGACAGATCGAGAGTGGCAATTTCCTCCGTTCCTCTTCGCGGTCGTTTCTTCGAGTCTCACCCCTGAAGAGTGCCCACGGAGGTGTCGGAGGTGTCGGGGATTTTTTCCCCTGTCCCAGATCGACTGGGAAAATTGCAGGAGCAGACCGCAAATCAAGATGGCGTCGACGGGCCCCGCCGTAAACGGTTCCCGGGGCGAATGATGCACGAGGACGTCGCCCGGCTCCTGGGTACGCGAATTGAGATTTACGAGGGATCATGCGGCGGGGATTAATTACGATCCTGGGGTGATCTACGCCCGGAAGGATCTCGCGGTATCGCGGCCGAGTATGCTAAAAAGAGCGACGCGCCCGGAATCCGAACTCCATGGCGCCCCTGGCTTTTTGTCGTGCGGCCCCTCCTTTGCGGAACGGTACTTAATTACAGGGCCATTCGTCATTATTCAACGATCGGCAGGCTCGATACATATTTATGCGAGTGAGGCAACCTGCGTGGTCGCGACTCGCGCGCGTACCGAGAGGTGCGCTGCACCTGGAGCTCGGGGCCTGAGTAACGAGCAAGCCCACGGGGATTTTTAATACACCCGGTAAGACCTGTTAAGCCGGAGCTCCTGTTAAGTCGGCCATTTTTTTGCGCGATTTTTTTCAACGTCTTTTTGAAGAAAAAAAAAAAAAATTGGAATTAGGTCCTGGAGACCTCGTGCCGGCGCGTCGTGGTGGAGATGCCTGAGAGCTAGGTTCTTCGGGACTTCTTGGAGGTTTTTCACGGTCTCTGGATGGTTCTTCTTGGTCCTCCTTCGTGGTCTCGACACGGCACGTACCCGCTGCACCCGCGCCTACGTGTCCTCAGGATTCTCCGGCCCTCCGGCCGGCGATTACGTTATTACACGCGTGAATTATCGCATCGGCGGCCACTTATGCGACATTATGTGCACACGACCTCAGCGGATCTCCGTTTTGCGTAATTAATAAGCATAATGTGGGACGCCGGCACAATGCAAGGGTGTGTACGACGGCCCGAGAAGGATGGCCAAAATGTCACGGTCTCTCGCGAGCATTAACGAGCACGCATCCCCGAAGGCCGCGAAGGATCGGCATGCGAGATGAGGTTTCGAGAGGCCCCGAGAGTCCTCCTCTTCAAGGTAGGTACCTCTTGGCTGGAAAAAAACTCCCCAGGAAAATTCTGCTCCGATTTTGAGGGCCCCGGAAAATGAGGGAACCTCTTCGAGGCCTCCCGAGACGCTCTTCGAGTTCTCCTTGTGTCTTCCACTATCCTCAGAAATTCCCATCCGCTCCCTGCGGTGGTCTCACGGCTCGAGGTTTACGATTCCCCATTCGGGCGACGTCCCATCCTGGAACCAGACCCCCGGTTCCCGAGGGGCAGCGAGGAGGCACGTCCACCTTTCCAGGAAGCGCCGGTGCGCCAGGAAGAGTCGATGGATGGATCTCCTCGCATGCGTCCAGCCGATCCTCGGAGGGGGGGCATTTTGTGTCTTCTAAGAAGCAATCATCTCGAGGAACGCGGCGAGGAGCGTTGCTTGCAGCCTCGATATGCAACTGCCAGATGATTCGACCCGATAGCATTAATCAGGCACGACCTGCGCGGATTAAGTCGCACCTGCGAGGACCGTGGTACCGTTTCAATTTATCCTGGCCCCATGAGGACGCTTCCTCGGGGACCCCTCGACGTCGATCGACGTCGAGGTGGAGCCTGGGCCCTATCGACGTCGGTCTCCACGATCTCATCGACGTCGATCTCGTCGAGGTGGAGTCGCATCTCCTCTGGACTCGAGATCGGAAACCGAAGCGCGAACTCGAGGAAATTAAACGCCCACGCGGAAGGATTTCTGCGTCTCAAGGTGCGGATCCTCCGTGAATCTTAAACGAGATCCCCCCGATCGGAATGCGAAGGTCGCCATAAATTAATCCTTCCTCCTTGTCCCGGTGAATCACATTTCCGTGAGTCACCGCAGGCCACGCGTCGGCACGCCGCGAGGAGGGGCCTTACGTAAGCTTTTTGCGTTTTCTCGCCTCGCGTGCGGAGAAAATTCACCGCGACCCGGGAGGTTCCGGAAGAGGGGGCGGACCGTTCCCAAAAGTCGGGCCAAATGGATCGGAAAATTCGGGAAGAGAGTAATTCCGAGCAGAAGCTGAGGTTACGACGAGGAACGGAGCCCTTAAAGAAACGATTGGAAAAGTCAGATCCTCGAAGTAGACGATGGTCATATCAATTTTCCGCCGTTGTCTGGATCTAAGGTAGGTGCCTATTTTTTCCAGGCAACTTGGCGGCTTAATTAACGACGGGACCGTTTAATTAGCGACAAGAGCCTCCGCTGGTGCATTATTCCGCCGCGTTAGGAAGCGCATCGCGCGGCGGTTCCGCGCCTGTCCGCACGCCTGAGCCTCCGAAGGCTATCGGCTGCTTTGTAATTCCTCGGGCAACATTAATAATGCGTATGCAAATCGCATTACCACTCGGCTATTTAAAGAGCCTCGCCGGGTCACGCGATTCCCGTGAAAGACTTCCGAACGGGAACGACGTCTTTCTCTCCGCAGGGTTTATCGGAAGTGTTTCGTCCTGTTAAAAAATTGATCATGAATTTCCCCCGTCACTCGGGATTTCGAATTGCCGACGTCAGTGATGGGTTTCGCTGGGCCTTCGATCCGTCGATTTTTACCTCTTTATCTCTTCGCCCCTTCGGCGCCCACCTCGAGGTGTCGATTCCTCTTCTCGGTTCTTATTTCGAATTCAGGGTACGGCCACTCGGTCATCCGGTATTCACAGACGCATCACTCACCGCGGGGCGATTGTCTAGGAGTTGTAGGCCAAACCTGGAAGGCTGATCGAATTCCCGGCGCCCATCGGCGATCATGAACTGCATCCGCAATGGCCGCCGATGAGCTCGCGACTGCGATCTTGGTCCCCTTTAATAGACCCCTCGAAGACTAGTTTCCCTCCCCGGCGTAAAAACCTAATTCCCCATCGAACCGGGACAATAAAAATGTGCGTCTCGTTAGAGCCGATCGCCTCGAGTCCCGATATCGAGCCGTGGAGTAATTTCGCAAGGGGCCCGTTTTAATGCCGCGGTAAAATACGGTCCCGGGGATAGAACCAAGATGGCGGCCGCGCTGTCAGGATCAAGAGGCCCGCGGTAAAAAGGGACTCCATTAGCGGACATGGGCGACT